CAAGCACCTCGAACTTGATACAGTTGCATAAATGCTCATTTTGTCAAACTTGGATTTCACAAAAGTCCCCTTGAGCACACTTTTTACGTCAAGTCTAAAGAATGAGGTAAATTACTCATTATGTGCTTGTATATTGATGACTTGATCTTTACTAGAAAATATGTTAAAATGTTTGATGAATTTAAGAAGTCTATGATGAAAGAGTTTGAAATGACTGATCAAGTATTAGTGCACTATTGGATATAAGTCATTCAAACTACTGCTGGTAATTTTATATATCAGAAGAAGTATGCACAGGATATTCTTAAAAGGGTTCATATGGATGAATGCAAGCCATTTGGAAATCCAACTGAACTCAGTTTAAAGTTGTGCAAAGACAGAGGTGGGAAGGATGTCCATAGTACTAGGCTTCCTGTTAGGGGCTCGCTATGCCAAAAGCGAGAGAAACCACATCCTTCTCTTTCCTTTTTAAGCCCCTACGTCACCACACGGGAGGGACATGGGGACGTGAAAAAAGGGATCCTATCAACTTGTTCTGACCAAAAGCAAGTCATTGGCAGTGTCATCTACTTAACCTCCTCACGGCCTGACATCATGTATGTAGTGAATTTGGTAAGTCGATATATGGAGAAACCAACTGAAATGCATATCAATGCAGCCAGAAGTATTCTCAAGTATGTGAAAGGGATAGTTGATTATGGTGTGTTTTATAAAGGGCAAATAGTGCTGGTTTTGTTGGGTACACAGAATGTGACTCTGTAGGTGATATAAATGATCGTAAGAGCAGTTTTAGCCATGCATTTACGCTTAACTCTGGTGCAATATCGTGGTCCTCAAAGAAGCAATAGATAATGACACTTTCCTCCACTGAAGCTGAGTTTATGGTAGCACTTACAAGCTTATGTCAAGTTGTATGGCTTATAAAGATGTTTAAAGTACTTGGGTGATGATCAAAATGGACCAACGATCTCAACTACGGTAACATGTCAACTATCAAGTTGTCAAGGAATCCAATCATGCATGACATATTGATGTTCGTTTTTATTTTCTGCGTGATTTGTGCAGAGATGGAAAGATTGAACTAGAGTATTGCCAGAGTGGAGAACAGGTTGTAGACATCTTAACTAAACCTTTGAAGAAACCTACTTTTGAGAAGTCGAGGAACATGCTTGGTGTTTGTTCAGTTCGAAGCATTGATCATGAAGAAGTTTATGTGATGGTAGAGAAGCCAGATGCTGATGAAGAAGATTATGCGATGGTAGAGAAACCCTAAACTATTTTCAATAGAAATCAGTTTAAAGGAGGGCGTTAAGAATTATTTAATCATGTTTAATTAAGTTTTAATTAAATAAAGTTTATGTAGTAACGTAGAGACCAAGTCAAGCTATAGTCCTACTATGTAGGCGATGGGGTTGTGTCTGTTCACCACGTTCAAATTTGTTTTTGTTGCTTAGGGTTGTTAACTCCACAAAATATGCACAAGTCATGTTAGTCATTATCGTGGACCTTGCCTATTTCTATTTTATTTGTAAACTTGTTTCATTCAGTTTAATGAGAATCTTCAGCATTCAATAACTATGCAATTTAATTGTTATTTAACTGTTCAGAGCATCCTTTACGTTTAGGTTTTTCAGTTTCTAATAGAAGAAAGTCCTAGTTTCTAGCCCGCATCGGGCCCCCATGAAGCTCATCACAACAACCACTCACCTAGCTCCCTACACCGTAACATCAACTTTGATGTCAGCGAGGTGTTCAAATGGCAATCGAGATTGTACGACGTGTCATCGAGGGTGTTGTTCACTATCAAGGAGGAGGATTCTGGTGACAAGCTTGTTCTTCTCTCCATGCTGCATCCGGGGGCGACTGGAGCTTCACATCGTCGACCCAATCCATTCCTTACATTTTAACCTGGAATTGAATGTTGGGTTTGGAGATTGGAGGGAAAAACAGAAAGAAATGTTGGGTTTGAAAGGTCACGAGAAAAGATCTCGGGAGTAGAAAACATTGGTAGAGAAAAGGAAGAAGATAGAAGGTTTGCTTTGTAAAGGTTGTTGGAGTCATCTTTCCATCATTGTTGCGGAATTGTTTGGCTGGATTTTTGGCATCTATTGGGCGGATGTTTTTCGGTGATGCATCGGCAGCGATCTCAGGGAATTCAGGGTTCTCTATTTCCTTTGCTGTTTTTGAGCTTTTGTTTTGAGGGTCTATACTTTCTTTTGAGCTTTTCTTGTATTTGCTTCTCGTTCTTCGTAAACTTTAGTGTGTTTTTGGTAATACATCTACCGCTTTTACCAAAAAAAAAAAAAAAAAAAAACGATCGAAGGTTAGGAGAAAATGACATTTTTTTTCTTCCCTTTAAAGGTGATTATGTATAGCACATGACATACTTAATGGAAGAATAGATGAAAAATTCGAAAATCCAACAGCTAGGTGGAAATTTGACTAATTATAAGAGTTGAGCCTTCATTAACGGTTACCATCACCTTCATGAGAGTATAGCACATGACATACTTAATGGAAGAATAGAAGGTCATGGAAGTATAGCCTTCACTAACAGTTACCACCACCGTCATGATGCCATCACCTCCAAACCCAACGCAAAACCACCAACTCCATCCTACAATTCAAGCCGCCAACATCGAAAAGAAGTTCATGAATGTTGCTAAAATGGTATGGACTACCCTGATACGGTCACCACCATCTTCATCACCAAAAAGAAGAACTAGAAGGTTTACAAGCCGAGAATCAATGAATAAGGAAATCAAATGAGTAGAAACAAACTCTTTGGAATCCTATCTCTGAATTCTTAAACTTTGTTAAAAGATTGCCCTCCTAATGTAATTTCAATTTGAGTCTCTTTTCGATTCAATTCAATACCTGTTTGATCATTGAGTTCCATATTATATAATCTATGTTTGAAATTTAGATTTTGAGGCAACTAATATTAATATTGTCTATTATATGTCCAGTTGGTAGATTTTGAATATGATCTATGTTTGAAAAATTAACTGGAGCTTAAGAGAATGTGACATTTTTAACTAGTTGGGTACTTGTTTGAAATATTTAAAAAGATTAAAACCAATTTAGAATGAACCTGAACATCCTCATCATCTGCCATAAGAAAATTATATTTGACTCTTTAGATTCCCTTCTGCACATCACTTTTCTTCAGTTGAATAATAATCTATTTCGATCTTTCTGAAAACAAGGGTTCATTAAAAAACACAGAGAATAATTTTATTAGGCAAACTCCTAGAAGCACAATAATAATAGTAATACTACTCACACCATGTTTCCATTAGTTTATTAGTATTTAGATTTGCTTAGTTTACTAATCAAGATTAGGTCAAAGATTTACCACATAAAGGTACCTAAAAGGATGCCAAGTGACAGGATTTCAACCAGTAAAACGCACGTGGTAGACTCCATTTACATTAGTATTGCATTTTTTCTAAAATTAGTAGTGACATATCTCAGCAGAGGCCCTACAGCCGGATATAGTCGGATTCTAAACACTGTTATGTGTTCCGGTCCCATGTGCGGTCGAGTTGAAGTACATGCATGCATATCTCTTGATCTGATGAGTCACTCGTCTGGCCGGTTCTCCCTTCACTACCTTCCAAACAACAATGTTAAACAAAATTGGAGGAAATCACTTGGGCACATCTAACTACTGATTATCTATGCTTGACGGGAAGTTTGGTCGGTTTTCGGAATCACTACTAAATTAAATAGTTTGACCGACAAGGGAGATTTTGTCGTGCAAAGCACACTTAGGTCACACAAAAATTATGGCGACCAGAAATTCGTCGCGCATATTTTGTCACGCAAAGGTCGTGAAAAAAGACATTGCACGACAAATAATTTCAACTTCATTGCTCACCTAAACAATTGCGTGATGCTTTACTACTCATCGTGCTAATGTTATACGGACAAAGGTTTTCATCATACGATATAAAAGGGTACAAGTACGCTTTTGTCTCGAAAAATGTAAGAGGCGTGTGGTAATGTGCGACGAAGTCGTGAGACGCGCTTAATTTTGCACAACGACCAGTCGGCGTCGCATAAATGTAATTTTTAATAAATAAAATAAAAGGAAAAAAAAAAAGATTTCACACTAATGACAAAAAAAAAAAAGCAAATTAATGAATAAAAACAAGTTTTATTTGTAATATAAATAAAAATGTACGTACAAATATAAAGTTTAAAAAAAAGCGGGAACAAAACTATGAACAAAAAGCTGAAAAATCTATAGGCATGTCGTTCGGAGGTGCTTGGTAATCTTGCTGCTGGTTGGGGACGGGGTTGAAGGTCGACGGGCCTGATTGCTATGCTTGTTCGGTGTGGAAAGGCTCTGAGGGCGATGGTGCAGAAAAACCAAGGAGATGTATTCCGGAGGAACTGAGGGCTTGTACAAGCATTGACATTTAAGTCTTGTATGATGCCAACTCACTCCTCAGGCCAACGACTTCCTGCGTAAAAGCCGTAACCTGACCCCTTAACTGATAAGACTCCACTCTCCCACCGCCTGGCATGTCCCATCCCCTGACAATATATCCCTGGCCTTGGACCGAAAGTTTGGTCCAACGTCTCTGTCACGATGTGAAACCCTGCATCCTCAGGGGGATCCACAGACTCAATCAACGTGTCCGAGGGAAGCTGGGAGGCAGACTACTAAAACATCGACTGACTTTTCTCCACCATAGTTGCTTATGAAAAAAAAAACATGGATTATTAATAGAAAACAATTTGAAATAATTAGTATAAATGTTTAATGCATGAGAAATTAATTGCATGAAGGGACTCGGTCAACTCATCCCTAGGCCGAACATAAACGTCAGCAAAGACGTCGATCTCCGGAAATTTTAAACCCTCCTAAAATCGAAAAAGATAAGGAAAATGTTAGTACGAAAAAAAAATTATTAGCGACATTTTAAAATTGGAAATGAAAGTTGTAATATATACATTCCATCGCGCCTCTATCCTATAGGAGAAGGCCTCTAACCAGAATGGTGGAGAATAGTCTTCTTCTCCCGATTGATCTTGTTCGCCTTCGCCTTCTTCTGTTATACAAAAAATAAGTGTATTAGTTATAATACTTAAAGAAAATTAAAAAAATACTAAGACAGATTAGTGTAAATTAACAAAAGTAAAATGAAAGAAGTCATAATTAAAAACACACCATATAGCCCGGCTCCTGAAAATGACCACAAAGCCAAACCCAACTATCTTGTCGGTCGTCCAACTCTTTTGGACAACCCTCCTCGAGAGCGACCTGTGGATCATCAAGCTGCTGTAAACATTGGTGCAGGTCACTCTTCCACTGCTTATAGCGTTCGGAGAAGAGCCGATTGAGGTACGCGAACATGTCCTCGTCCATGTCCTCCAAATTGTAGTTTGTCTGCAATGTAACAAATATTTTGAAAGTATTAGTAATAAAAGATGGTAATAAATATAAATATATAAATTGTACATGAAAAGCATTAAAAAGGCAACGTTACTTATGAACAATTGATTGTGCACCGTGTTCTTCGTCTCCTTCGGCATTGCCTTCTAAGACTTCCACCGCATAGGGCAAAAGGTCCGCACAACATGCCCAATGTCGTGGGCCAATGCACTATGCTGCTCCACCGTTGGTGCTGCCCGATGTCGCTCATCGTATCCGATTGGGATACGACCGTTGGTCACCCGGTTGACCTTCACCGTCTTCAATTGCCGACAAGGTCCTCGAGTTTTTTTCTTCGCTGCAAAAAGATGAAAAAAAAAAAGAAATCATTAACCCAAAACTTATAACAATTCCTACTAAAATTTCGGCATAACCTCCCCTATAATTAAAACATTTCCCAAAACCCTGAAAATAACATTAACAATATACGTATCCAACATAATGATCACAATAGTTAATAAAAGGTTCAAAGCGATGACAACTTTTTAATCCTTACATGACATAACTTAACAAATTGAACCTAAAATAACAAAACTCAGTCAACATGGGAATGAGGGAGTGAATTAGGATTGTATACATGGCTGTGTACCTGAGGCATTAGTTGTGGATCTCGATGGCAACATCTGGTCCGTAGTGCGGGGGCGCCGGTGACTACATTGGATGCTAATAGGAAGCGCCACCGAAGAAGTAGATGATGCCTACGCCTATGCGACTGGATGACCAATTGGGTCAACCGGATTGTCCGGCCTATGGTCCATCTCCGCTAGAGCAATAGCAGTAATAATAGGTGTAGTCATCGGACTGGTGTAGAAGTCATCGCCCTCCGAATTCTAATGAGGTGTGACATCTATAAAATTGGAAATCAATTTGTTTCGTACACAAAGATTTAACTTACCGTACACATGCTAATAATTTCAACTTAAATTTAAAACAAAAATTAAAAACCCTAATTCTAAACCCAATTCAAGTTTGGCAGAAACAAAAGTTAAAACTGATATACTATACACAAAGTAATAAATTCATATACGATATATAGACCCATCAATTATAACTTATAAGAAGAAACTAGCATAAAGGAGTAGTTGGAGGCAAAATCATAGCCTATGAGTGTATGCGTCCGTCTACATGTACGTGCTCTATGTGTGTGGGTGTGTGTGTGTGTCCATGTATATATGCTGATTTTGGGTGTGTGTGTGTGTGTGTGTGTGTGTGTTAATGTATGCTAATTTTCCATGTACTCAGATGTATGTTTATTTTGGATGTATGTACTCTGTGTGTGTGTGTGTGTACTAAGCAACAAAATGTACTCTGTGTGTGTGTGTGTGTACTAAGCAACAAAATTTCAAACAGTTTCCACCATAATTACTTAATAGTTTCACATGTAGTAATAATTTCACAGGTAGTAATGAGAAAAGGGACCATATAAAGTGATTCTCAGTCTTTTTAAACATCCACATTACATATAGAAATCATATGACTGTTGGATATAAATAGAGCTTGCTAACTGGAGTAATTAACAATGCAATATATTTATAAAAGAGTGAGTAGCAACAAATAACACTTTCTATCTATTTAGGAGTCAAGACTTTCGAAAGTGAACCATTAGTAGGCTAATTAAGCTATTTATGTTCTTCAATTTAAACAACCCCACGACCCTATTTCTATAACTATCTATGTCCGATTGTATGACTAACTAATTAAGCTACAACACTATTTCTTTAACAAAATCATACATTCTTCACATTGGGAAAAAAAAAGTTACCGCAATTAATAAGAAAAATTCAATCAAGAGTGAGACAAGGCCCACTCGAAAACCAAATTTTTTAACCAACGTCCAATTCCAAAATCCAACACCAAAGTAGCAAAAACCCCACTCGAAAACTGAGGACCACAGCTAAAGATAAGTAGCACGTTGGTCGTTTAGTTACTAGTACATTCGTTTGACTTATATTAACCATAAAAATACTCTACTTGTCTGAGAAATCCATAACCAATTTTCTAACTTTGGTTCCTTTCCAAGAAGGAAGGAGTTACAAATTTTCCAGATTATGCATTCTGCAGAATCCAACAACTACATCCAGTAACCAACATAACAATTTTCAAAAAATATCCAAATCAAACACCAAAGAAGTAGAAACCCTAATTGAAAAACCGAGGAACAAAGCTAAATTGTTGTCTTCATGATTTCTTGTTTAAGAATAGTGGGCCAAGCAGCACGTTGTTTGTTTAGTTACTAGTACATTTAATTTAATTATTATAGGGTGGGAAACCAATTGTCTAACTTAGGTTACTTTTTAAGAAGGAAAGAGTGTAAACATTTTCCAGGTTCTGCATTCCGCATATTCCACCTACATCTAGCAACAAACATCAAGTTTTTCAACCAAAAACTTCAACCAACATCCAATTCCAAAATCGAATAGCAAAGTAGCAAAAACACCATTCGGAAAACCAAGGAACAAAGCTAAAGATACTAGAAAGTTCATTTAGTTCCATTATTTCTCAACACACTAAATCACTTTGCATGGTAATAAGCAAAATTCAATCAAGAGCGAGACAAGGCCCTAATTCTAACCCATTACTTGAAATTATAAAACCCCTAATTTAAGAACCCTAACCTAACCCCCAGTGAAACACCCTAAATTTAACCCCCAATTTAAGAAAACTTCATCTAACCTCATTGCCCAAAATCGTTCCCCTAATTTTAGACCTAAATCTAACCCCAATTAAGAACCCTAAAAACTATAATTTAAGAACTTAAATGTAACCCCCAATTAACGAACGCAAAATCTAACTCGACTGCCTTAATTTTAACCCCCAATATGAAAAAAAAAAAAAAAAAAACCTAATTAACATGGTAAATAAAGAAAATTTAAAATAAAAACTGAAGAGGAAATTACCTCTTGGAAACAAAGACGCGATGGCCGGAGAGAGGGATGGAGATACAGATGGAGATACAGAGGAAGGAAAGAGAGGGCATCGAGCAGGGAAAAAAGGAAGAAGAGGGAAGTGAGGGGAGGAAGGAGGGACACGGGGTTAAAATATAGAAACTTGCACGACAGAGTGTTTGTCTCACAAGGCTAAAAAATCATCGCGCAAGTTTTTTAAAATTTCAACGAAAAATAAGCACCTTAATTGAATTTTCAGACACTTGCGCGAGCAATACATATATTTTATCTCGCAAATACACTTTGAGCGACGAAATATATGTATTTGTCTCACAAATGTTTGAAATTTTAATATTCCCCCGTAAAATTAAAATGCTTGCACGACCAAAAATTGTTATGCGGCTCACAATTATGTTTTAAAATGGTTTTTTAAATTCTTTTATTTTGTTTACAATTTATTATAAAATACAAATAAAACAAATTTGTCACAGCCCGTCCCGGGATTTCTATATCGGGGGCGTGAATTGACGTAACTACCCTTGACGGACATTCGGGTACGTGTGTGTGCGACATTATTGAATTAATTTTGTAAGTTTTGGGATTTTAATTTTGGAATTTGGAAATTTTTGTGGTTAGGGAATTGGATGGATGGTGAGGATTGTGTTGGACCACACAATCACACACACACGCACTCCCTGTCTTCTCTCCCTCCCGTAGCTCTCTCTGTCCCTCTCCCTCACGATCTCTCTCTTTCCCCTCACCCTATACGTACGGCCTTCACCCAAAACCCTTCAAAACTCGACGGATCGAGGCAAATAAGGTATGCATCTTCATCCTTTCGTCGTCCTGAGTTCATTTGGTGCTAGTTTTAGGAAGTGAAACCTTCGATTTCACATAGATCCCGAACCTCCATTTTTGAGGTACTGTTCATGCGAACGTAAAATGTTGTGTTTCAGGAGATTTCAAGCTTGTGGTGAGCTTTAGGAGGTTCTAAGGAAGCTCGGGGACGTTCGTTGGAGAGTTTTGGACGTCGGGATCGTAGGTTTCAAGTTTGGCCGAATCTTTGGTTTTTGCAAGGTGAGATTTCGTAGTTTTTAGGCCCTAAAACAAGTCCAACGTGATTGTACACTCTTAGGGCTTCAATTTGGTATAAAATACGAAGAAAATGGGTGAAAAACGAAGGAGAATAGTGAGTTTGAAAATCGGCCGGAGTTCGGCCGGAGTCCGGCCACCGGAGAACCAGTCCGGCGAGACCTGCGAAGAAGACGACACGTGCGCTGCACGTGCTGCGCGTGGCCAGCGCGTGGACCCGTGCCACGTGTGGCGCGTGGGGGCGCGTGGGGCTTCCAAAAATTTTTCTAAAAATTTCTCGACGCTCGTGACGTCGAGTAGGTCGATGTGGTATATTAATATACCAAAATTGAGCATCGTATGAGAAGTTATTTCAAATTATTGGTGATGTGCTTAAAATTAATGTTTTTATAGTTGTTTCGCATATAGGTGAGACGTATCCCGAGGACGACCGCATCCAGGGACGCCACGGGGGTTACGACCCGTCGACTTATCAGTGAGTGGGCAGTTTTGTTTTCGTATTACCTATATACTACTGTTTTTCCCAGAAAAATGTTTATATGAAAATATGTTTTGAATATGCCATGCATAGAATTATTTGAAAATCATGAATTTGTTTATGAACTATATGATTGAAATATGATGCATACATGTTGCATGGTGCTGTGGAGGCACAGGTAAGTCAGGTGAGTTCATTTATTCATTGAATTGTTGTTGTTGAGATGAGTTGAGCTCATAATCTGCACCCTAGGTGTTAGTGCTTATATTTATTCACCACACCGCACGCTCGTCTTGGATCCAAGTAGGTGGATGTCGTACAGACCATGTGAGGGTTCCGACATGCTAGTCGTACAGATCACTACTAGGCGTGATTCCGACTAGTGGGTGACCTTAGTTATGCGCGCTGATGATATGATGAGAGAAGCACTAGAGCGTATTTTTACACCTTTCATCGTATAGACTACCTTACGTAGTTCCGAGTGATGTGCAGAGTAGGGCCGTATAGGTCACTGTGGTGACTCCGGCTTAGTGGGATTTGAGCTATTGAATTAATCGTATAGGACCAACTGCAGGGTCTCCGATTGATTCCTTATTCACCTGATTTATATTTTTATTTATGTCATGGCATGTTTTCTTGAAAATGTTAAAGATTTGAGATTTAAATGTTGAGATTTTATATGGTTATATATTTCTGGGAAAGTATACAGGTTTTTACGGCGAGGGGATATATACTGTTTTAATGAAATGTTTTGGAAAACTAATTTGTTTTACTGACCCACTCATTTTGTTTTGCGCCCCTCCAGGTTCTAGTTTAGCGGTGGTTGGCTCACGAGGTCCTTTCCGGCTTTCTGACAGATTTGGGACATGTAGGACTCACCTGAGGGTGATGTATTCTTATTTTAGTCCTACTTGACTGCAGTTAACCTATGCTCTGAACTTATGTGTTTACTTGTAACTCGTCCGGTTATGTCCGTATGTGGTTATGTTGAGTTTGGGTTGAATTTCTGTTGTTATATGTTGTTATTACGCTTCCGTGTCGTGCTTATGGTTACGTCACGCCCACGTGACGGCCAGCACACCTGGATCCTCCGGATCAGGGTGTGTCAAAATTTATGTACAAAGTAATTCACTTATAAAATGGGAATCATTCATTCCATTTTTTCCACTCTATATAATGCATTAACCATTTCATGCGTTTTACAAAAAAAGTTATGAACAAATTGCCTTAATCTTCATCCGAACTATAATAACTCTCACTTTTGTCGCTATCATCATTTTCAATGTCCCATTCCTCATCATCAATATGTATGTCACCATCGTCGTTTGTGCATACTGGACCT